TAACAGAGCAGAGAAAGAGGAATTAAAAATGGTTTGCTATTCATTGCTCACCTTGCCCAACAAGCTCGAGGCGGACATTCTGCTCGGCATGTAGTTCTGCGAGTCGCTTTACGCCTTCAAAACAGAGCCTTAGCTAGTCCAATAGGCACCGACAGGGACACCTGCCCTCCATCACTGCATGCCGATCTACCTTCTCACAACGCTCCGCTCGCCTCGTCCCTTCGGTGTCCAGCTCCCTACTGTGCATCTGCAGTGACAATAATACGAAGTCAAACGGATGCTGACAAATACCCTAGCAAACAGTGAGCCTTCCCCATTCCTACTCCTTCACTCTCATCTACTAACCTTGTTGATTCGTGCTTTGCGCTCTGACCTGCCAGGCTGACGCAGCACATCAGTGAGTTCAAGAAAAAGACAAACAGTAATACCTGTAAGAAGTAGACACCCTTCCCTCTTCTTTCCCCTACCCCAACAGCCACATCCCAGACTCACCCGTTCCCCTAGCCTGCTAACACAGCTCTGCTCACCTCCCATGCCGCGCCTCTGGGGTCAGCATCCATGTCAGGCGCCCACTCGCATAGTCTGTCCTTCTCCAAAGACTCAGGAACCATAACCTTCGATGCCAGGCTCGCCTCAAGAGCTTGTGGAGACACACACCAATGTTATATACTGCTTTTGCAAAAGAGAGAGCCCACCATGCAAAACAGACTAACAAATCCCTTTTACATACTCAGGCAACACAGAGACCCCAAAAGCACAACTCCCAAACGATCGACCTCAACCTCCATCATGGCCCACAATGCCATTCCTTGCCTTTACTGTTGTGTCTTGCTCAACGGTCCTGCTTAGCCCAGACCTATTACTTAAACCGCAAGAATAAGTCAAACCACTCACCAACACACAAAAATTACAGTTACTGCCAGATGACTCAAATATAGGCAAAGACCGATAGGCCAAACACCAAAAGACCTACAAGTAGCAAATGACCGTGGCTGGTGTAACGACAGACTCTTCCTTTACGGATAAGTAACTCCTAAATGAACCCATGAACTGCAGCATGGAGAACCCCTCGGTGGACAGCACGCTCGCATGGGAGCACTGACGTATAGGGGACAGGACAGTGGGCTGCCCCAGGTTGCTTGCATACAGAATGCTACTATTAGACTGCACTATAAAGTCTGGGCACAGAGGGCGGCGCTGGGGGCACCACAGTGTGCAAAGGGTGGCGCAGGAGACCTCAGAGTTCTGGAGGGTATATTTTAATGTATCTTAATGTACCCAATGCTTTCCAAGATGAGACTTGTCTGATGTTCGGCCCTGCATGTTGTGATGCAAAGGCCCAGTTTACACAGCGTCCCTCATGACTTTGTCGTACCTCCCATTGGCTGTGGAGAGACTAAAACAGAACAGACCTCATGGAGAGCCAAATCCAACTGCAAAATCCATCTGAGTAAGGCTGATGAACCCGCCTCCCTTTCCCAACCAGCCCCTGGTCCCAAAACTTTAGAAGCACCTTTTTTTTTCCCTCCTGGAGAGCTGTTCTTCCGAGCTTCACACCTTAAAAAAAAAAAAAAAAAAAAAAAAAAAAAAACACCCCAAACCGTAATGTAGTCATATAGGCACCAGTCGCATCTTCTCTCCGACGCCACATGCCAGTCCACCTTCTTATGGCACTCCACTCACCTCCTCCATCGCTCTTTGGTGCGCATCTTGTCCCTCTGCAAAAAAAAATTATTAAACAAGTCCAACTTGACCGACTCTACACGGGTGAGGCAAGGCATTCAAGACTACGGATGCCTACTAAGGGGCACACCAAACTTGCTGAGCACAAAGAGCCAGGGGGACATCGAGACCCGAGGAAGGCAGAACAAAGGACACGGACTACACAACAGGACAGGCGGGAACTGCCCTGCCTGGCACCTGCTTGCATTGCGTGGGAGAGACCCCACGTCCTCCATCTGCGCCCAAACACAGCCGAGCCTGAAGAGCCCTCTCCACTGTGCTGAATTCAGCCCTACCCCCTGCCTGCCTCACTTTGCAACCTCTCTCCACCCCCCGCCACCTCCCATGGCATCTGCCCCTCAACTTTACTTTCAGAGGGCTACAGGTCAGGTCCCATCCTCCACAAAGTCTGCCCCAGCTATTTAAGATGTTGCTGCTATCACCAGGTTCTTCTTGATCACCTGCACAAACAGAGCGCTGCCAGTCAGATGGGCCAACGCTGGCCTCTTCCACAGCAACGTCCTCCTCGGAAGCACTACATCGCTCAGCTCAGAAGCTATGGCTGCCACCCCTCTGCTCTTCTCATCTCTCCCAGGTTAACTCAAATCCTCAGTATTTCTGCAGAAAGCCTGCGCAGCAGCTGCAAAAGCCAAGGGAAACGCACTACCAAGAGGCCTTGTGGTACTGTGGGATCCAACTGATCCCAAGAACAACCAGCAGAGTGGGCGTCTTGTGGTGGACATACCCCTGGCCTCACACACCACCCCAACCGCAATCACCTGGGGAAGGGGAGCACCATGGAGAGACACCTGGACAAGTCTCCTGCTCTGGCTTGGGGACACGGGGGACTGTTATTGGAAACAACAACAACAGTAACATTTTTACCACAACTCTGTGTATCACACAAACAAGGTAAGGAGCCCTCTGCCCTCTAGAGCACCCCAGGGCCTCTGCCGAGGGCCGCAGGGGGCCCTGCTGCCCTCCAGAGCGCCCCTAACCCCGTCCTAACCCCTACATCCACTACCGCAGACCAACATGGCCGACGGGCCGCCCTGGCTGAGAACTACAGCTCCCGGCATGCCCCGCGGCCGGGCGCGACTCCAGCTCTCCCCACGGGCCCCGGGCCCCTCAGCCCCGCACCCAGCCGCAGCGGGGCAGCTCAATATCTGGCACCCCATCGCCGGCCACGGATGCCCGAGCTCACTATCCGGCACCGCTCCGGAACCGCCGTGGCCATGACAGACCCGGTGGAAGCGCCTCCCCCTCTCCGGGCAGAAGGAAAAATGGCGGCCGGAAGCGGAGGCCCCTCCTTCCGCCTCGGCACGCGCCGGGGGGGGGGGGGGGGGGGGACCCGCCCGGCGGGGGGTTTTGGTTGGGCTGTGAGTACC